CTACTTCGGACCTCTGTTAGTCAAACGAGTTCGCGGTACCGAGAAGCGATATGGCTGTGTATTCACTTGCATGACTATGCGGGCCGTCCATGTCGAGGTGGCCCATACCTTGGACACGACTTCGTTCCTGTGCGCGTTCTCGAGATTTGTCGCTAGACGAGGCAGTCCATTAAACCTATATGGTGACAACGGTGCCAATTTTAGAGGGGCCGAAGCTGATCGTGCCGTTCACATCGAGGTGGCCCATACCTTGGACACGACTTCGTTCCTGTGCGCGTTCTCGAGATTCGTCGCTAGACGAGGTAGTCCACTAAAGCTATATAGTGACAACGGTACTAATTTTAAAGGGGCCGAAGCTGATGTGAAGGAATGTCTTCGACGATGGGATCAAGATAAGCTGGCGACCAAGCTACTAGAGCACGAATGCGACTGTGTATTCTCAGTACCGAAAGCCAATCATCGTGGAGGTATTTGGGAGAGGTTGATACGAAGCATCTGGCGAATTTTGCGGGCCTTATTATGGGACAGACTGATAAACGACGAAACGCTGCAGACAACTTTGACTGAAATTGAAAAAATCCTCAATGAACGACCGTTAGTAAAGCTGACCTCGGACCCCAATGATTTTGCAGCTCTAACGCCGAACCATTTGCTGCTCCTGAGCGCGAATCCTTCAACGGTCAGTCATTGTGCTGACTCACGAATTTAACTAAAACCCGGAGACATGCCAACCACCTAGCCGACCTATTTTGAAGTCGTTGGATGAAGGAGTACCTCCCAAATTTGCAGACGATGTCAAAGTGGCTTGAGCAAGGAAGGAGTCTAAGCGAAGGTGACTTCGGTTTGTTGGGAGATATCTCGACACCCAGAGGGAAGTGGGAGAAAGGCATTGTCGAAAGAGCAGTTCACTCGACTGATGGGGCAGTCAGTGAAGTGATCGTAAGAACCAGTCGGGGGGCATTACGTCGAGACGTCCGCCATCTCTACCTATTGGAGGCCTCCGGACAAGATGTTGTATACTGCGAGGAGCGGACAGACAGAGTGGCTGATCGGTCTGCTGGCTCAATCTCCACGTAAATTTATGGCTTGGGGAGTGTTGATTCCGCCTGCGAATCAACGGTGACCAGCGGTAACTTTCCTTGTTTTCTGACTACTCGTGAGTAACGTGACTCACATCTGTTTATTATGACACCGTTTCGTTTCTTTGCTCGCTTTCCCCCTGTTTCGCCCCGGCTTAATGTCTGCTTATTCCTCAGTAACTGATGTCAATACTTAATTTGCCCGTCCGTCATTGCTTGCAACTTCGTCTGGATTGCACCTATTCACGAGCGTCCACTCCGACCGAAAAGCGCGTCGACCGGGTATCGAACCCAGAGTCCGCGGACAGCAGGCGAACGCGTCACCGACTACACTAACCGGACACCCAACATGACTGATTATTTCGTATTACCCATGTATCGCACCTGGCAGATAGCCCTTGCTGAGCTTTGTTTTAAACGGACGAAACCGCGTAATCTGACCTGTCGCGCGACACGAGCGGTTGTGTCGACGCCGACCGAAAGACAGTCCCTCACATCCCGAACGTACTGACTCCTGCGCCGTTGCGGCCAACTCACACAGTCAGACTGCCCCGATATGTATGTTTGTACATCGTTTGGTACTTACTTGTTGTTGCCCCTATAGAAATCCGTGCTGTGACGGTGACTACCTCCCGCTCCTGCTGATTGCGTCATTGTTGATTGTACGTTTTCTTAATTCATGATGCTTACTAATCCGTTTTTCTGTAGAACCAGTTCCTGTCAGTCTTCAATATATCATCTGCTGCCCCACGTCTGTCTGCTCCTATTGACTACTGGCTGCGAGCTGCGTATAATCTAATAGTCGCAATCGTCCTGTGCGATCCTTAACCGTCCGGATCTTACAATCCTGATACACTATCCAGCAGAATCTGTGGAAAGCCCAGTATGTGACGAAACCTGTGTGGGTGGAAGTCACATGTGGATGCAAGAATTGCTGCCGTCTCGATGATGAACCAGAATGAATATCGCGGAAAACTTAACGAGTGGATGACAAGCGTGGAAGGTTTCATGTGCACCAGGCTAGAAACTTCGGAACTCAAACCACTTTTCCGGCATACCGGTGCATATCGTCAACAACGAACATGGCGTTCTTTCAGCTACACTGAGCGGTATCCGCTAAAACCCCAAGGCTCTACTTCTACTTTATGATACCGTGGAATGGTCTCACTTGAAGAGCTGCACACCAGCCTGAGAGCATGGCTAAAAGACGCAGCTCCTTCGGAATAGTTCGTCGACATTTCATCAATTTAGTGCTGAGATGTAGTGGCCCAGTGTGCCGAGATTCCTTGAGAAGCTCAAATTGTTCCCATTGCGGACGCATTAAATACTCGGTAACACCGTAGGTACCGTTAGGATGACACAAGAAGTGGCAGATATGTACCCTTAGGTACCTCATTACCAAATGCAAAATTTTAAGCTATGACCGCACCGCATAGAGCCAGAGAGGAAAAGTTCCCGCCCAAACGACGAAGGGCGCTTTTCCATGGAGAAATTCCTGTGCCACTGGAGCATGCTACCATCTGAACTGATACTGTCTGCGGCAGTGGGCGACCGCAAGCTCAACCGAGGCACCTGCAATTCCAGGTTTTTCCGAAATGCATCTGAGCTCAACATGATAGCGGTGAGACCACTTTAATCAAATCACACGCCACTGACTTGGCTGTATTCTTCAACCGGCACCTTCTCATTCTTTGTCAGACACCTGTTGGGAGTGACCAACTAGGATAACGCAATAAGGTACAATGAATTTTTGCCAAATTCAGTTGATACCCGTTTTCTAGACAATGATTCTTTCGGCACGTACTGCGTCTTATGCGCCGTTATGTCTCCACACGGCTAGTTTACGCTATTTGGACGCCCGTATCCTCGCGTTTGTGTATCATTCAGCACTTATGCGCTATTGCTCCCAAAAAAGACCTGCCGATTCATGGTTCTTTTTCTGCTCCTACTGACCGCATTATTATTGATCGTACGTTCTGCTTAGTTCATATTGTTTAGCAAAACATTTTAACGGAATCAGTTCCCGACATAGCGTTTATCGCCTTCATCCTTCAGCTCCCATTGCCTACTGAATACGAACTGCGCACTTTCCGATAGCTCCAATCGTCCTGTGAAATTCGTATATGCTCAGATCTAGCAACCACTACACCGCGTTTCGCCCATGACCTTGATGGCTATGGGAGCACAGAAGACTCTCTAGGAACGGTGATAGAAGTGTCTTTCCTCAACTGATGTGGAAAGAGTAATACCGTCCCCCATACTCAAAACACCAAAAAGTCATCCCAACTCGCGTTTGATCCCAGAAGTTGGACCTGCTGGAGATATTCACGGACAAATTATTCGGAAAAGAGATATCATTACGAGCTACTTCAGGAAGGCTGTAATAGGTACTTCAAAATGCACCTCAGCTCCTACCGGAAAAGTATTTCCACAATAAAATGCTGCAGCGGGCGAATCTTAGTAGAACTCCTGCCCCTAGGTTCAAGCCTCTCCAAGAGCACTTTTCTGACACTTCTGATCCCATCGTTCTTATGGGCTTCGGACGACTTCACCACTCACAACCAGAATTTTTAAGGGTTTACAAAACACGATATCGGCAGCTGCTTCTCCACAAAGCCTGCATCCATGCTAACGGTGCAGCGTTGGACGTCAGGGAGTCAGCGGTATTCGACGTTCGAGAGGATGTAGCGACGGCACACGTCGGTTCTGAAATGTGCGGATATAGAGATTGGAATTGCTGAATCCACACGGCACACACAGCACACATTCGCACAGGTCGGGTGACACAGGAAAGAAGATCGGAGCGTGGCAACAACACATGTGTATTGCACCGTATCCAAAACCCGAAGTCAGGGATACAATGCTAGGCCAACTTCAGTCAGGGGGTGTATAAGCGGCTACTCTTTCCTGTCCGGGGCTCATGGTGGCTCGACAATGGTACCTGTAATGGAGAGGGAGAGAGGGAGAGGCGCACGTAAGCTCATGTGATAGAGTACATGCAGATACAGTCGAGTTTCAACGGCATTACACGGATGTTCTTGAGGCGATCGCGCTCCCTATTCGTGGAAAAGTGGTGGTTCACTTCACGCTCAAATCGGTCAGTTCCCCAGGTTCAGGCGGACTCCTCAAAAAATGTACTGACGAGCTCTGTCCCCGATATAAACCTCTGTTTTCCTCCGTCTTTTCTCGTTTTTTTGCCTGGCTGTGCGCGCCCATCCACTGGGTTTAGCAGAGAAGCTAAGTGCTACCACGCAAACAACTAACGTCGAATTAGCTTGATGTGAAAAACAGTGGAAAAAGTCAACATTTTGTTGCTTAATTGCATAATTGCCAACAAACTCTATCAGCTGGACCAGCACGGCTGTTTTTGCTCCGCTCTTGCTTCAAGAACCTGACTCTCATCCTCTCAGATATTGCCATAGCTTTTTAGGACTGCCTTCACAATGAGTGATCTTCGTTGCCTCAGTACTTTCGGTTTATTCCCCCGTAAGCTCACACCTTATCGATGGAAGCACCTAGGAGTTTACCGTCCAGGTGTCTTTCTGGCTTTAAGTTAAACAATTTCTCGAAGCAGTCCCTGGCGACTCAGCTTCATCTAGACTTCAGGCATAAAGCAGAGCACTACAAATTTCCACGCATGTAAAAGGCTATTCCTAATCCTTAATACTAACGTCGCCTTTATCATAACTCTGAGGCATCAAAAACACTAACGTTCCAAACATTCGATGCACTGAACCCTACACTCTGCAGCAGGTTGCCGACGTTTGCGCTTCCCGGGTCAAGACCAATATCCCTCCCCGAACCCCCAGAGTACCTTCCATGTGTCCATGAAAAACACATACCTTTCTTCCTTTCACTTGTCTGTAAAATTCAACACGGCCCCAATCCCCATGGTTCACTGCTAGAGAAACCTTGGGTTTTCACTTACCCTTAATTATTTCTCAACTGTGATGGTCCCCAGCTCATCCAAGTGGACGATCAGATTGGTCTAACTTCAACATAAAACTTTTTTCTAACCTGAAGAAATCCAACTTCCCTCACTTCCACATACACTTACGATATCTTTAACTCCTGGGCTAGTGACCACCTTTTCAACATTCCCCAAAACACTAACTTTAGGGGCACAAGCCAAAACTATCCCATCATATTTACATCAGCCGACCAAGAAAAATCTGATTTTTAGGTAGTTGTTTCACTCTGAAATAACATATCAGGTAGGTGTTGCGCCTCATCAGTACACCTTCAAACATTCTTCACCAATTTGTTTCATAATCTGCCATAATTGTCCCATCACCAAATCTACTCCATAAACCAGCAAACTTTTCGGTCTATTCCCCAAACCAGAGAACAGTTAATCCCATTTAGGACCACCAGCCCAAACAGTGACCTCCTGTTCACTTCTCGTCCTCTCTAAGGTACGAAAGCTACGTCTTTGTCTAGAACCGGGAACCCACCGAACCGAGTTCGTGCGGCTCCGACTTCCCGCAACACCCGAGCCTACTAGATAAACGGACCAATCATGTACGGAGGTTAAGTTAAGCCCTCTGTTGGGTGCGCTGCTTGATGTCACAGCTGTTTATTCGCATGCATTTCACGCGGACGGAGAGTCACCACTAGCTATCTACGCCCTCTGTGGCAACTCTGTCACTTCGGCTCCTGATGTCCAAATGCAATGAACTGGACAGAACCCACAACAGGCCATTATTCCTGGTATGTAGAACATTTGTTCCAAATTAACCTGGTCAGGATGGAATGCCAGATGAGGGCATACCGTCGAGATTTACACGGACCTGCAACACATTCATTAGCCGCTACAGAAAGTTCGTCTCCACGTATGAAACTTTCGTACTGTTTAGGATAATCACCGACGTAAGTGTATTTCGTGTTGGAAATTTGATCAAGGCTTTTCATGACCTGCGGCATGTAACGTTTTCAGATCGGGCTGTGAGGGGGCTAACCACTGTCATAAGATATTGGATTCGTGTGGGCAATGTCTTTGTGCTGTCTCTGGCGTTTGGACAATCACTTGCACACTAGTTTGCTCAGTTGTCCGTCGTTCCAAGTGCACGGGCTTGTGTTGTTCACGAATTCACGGATTGATACATCTGTGGATCCTGGAATACACGAACTGCCTGCTACAAACAGTATGTCAGCTGAGAAGGATTGCACGTGTGTGACACCCCTCCCTAAAAATTCGTATAATTATGGTGATGCTAAGCGATTGTCAGCACCTTACTTCCCGACCATTATCACTTGGTCGTCGTCCAGGGAAAATTGATCGCAAAGAGTAGGGCAAGTGACAGCTTGGAAAAACATTCGAACGTTTTTAAGCACGTTCCTCGGGCTGAGCGATCAAAGTCTCTTCGGGTAGATTGGTCAAGCCCTTCAACACAAGTGGGCAGGGTGGCCTCCATGCCCCATACATTTTCAACCTCTTGATAGAAGACGCCATCATCAACAACACAGCATCATTGTTATCTACTGACAGTGACGTATAGGTTAGCAGTGTCTTCGTAGCATGCATCAGAATATGATCAGGTTATTTTGTCGCAATGCCATCAAGAAGAGACTGGACCTTACCGTAGTGTGACGGTTTGCGCACCTCAGCGACCCATTAAGGTTTAGTAGGGGTCATGTAGGGATGTGGACAGTTCGTTAGATATGAATGAGGAGCCACGATCCGAATCTACATGTGCAGGCATACCAAACAAAGAGAACAACTCATGTGGACATTTAATAACTGAACAAAGTGGTGTATGCGATTAATTCCGGGACGACACAAGTAATGGATTTCGTTTAATTTATCGTTGCCGATCAGATTGGCGCACAGATTACGCGATAAGGTGTCAGCCACCAGACCGTCTTTTCCAGGTCTGTAGCTGGCACCGTAGCTAAAAGCGAGCACTCCCATTTTCCGTTGCTGGATTTTATCACTTTTTATCTCAGTTTTCTGCGACACACCATACATCAGGGAAACGGGCCGCCGGTCAGTGGTAAGCTTGAAGTGTTTTCCGAAGAGACAATGCTTTTGTTTATGGATAGATTGAACGATGACGTTTGCCTCTTTCTCAATAACAGAGTGATTCTTTTCGCTCGGTGTCACTGTTCTAGAAAACGAAGGCCACCGGCCGGCCGTTCTGAGTTACGGATGCAGCAATGGCTATATCTGAGGCGTCCATCTCGACAAGTGAGGGTGAGTTGTGGTCGACTATCACAACCATAGCGTTCTCCAACTCCTTTGAATTTTCGAAAGACTGTTACACACGCTGCGGTAAGGGGACAGTCGTATTTCTGACAAGCACTAATTTTGTCAGAGAAGCATGGTATCCATTGTGAATAATAAGCAACATACCAACAACTCATAAAGGAAACTACTCACAAGGTTGCTGAAAACTCTTCGACAGCAACCTTGTGAGTAGTTTCCTTTATGAAAATATACTGCGATATCTCGAATATCGTGCCAACTGAATCATGAGGCGGCCTGTGTGCAGCACATTCAGCTGGAGGACATCATAAACGAGAGATTCAATTGAGCCTCCCGTGAAAACCAAACTGATTTGCAAATGAGTGTATTTCTCGATACCAACAACTCGTTGTTGGGATTTAGCGTCATGTGGATGAGGGACTTGACGAATGGGGCTCATTCGTTCAGGATGTGGTTCGATAATTCCTTTAGAGACTTCATAGCCGAGGAGGCATATTTGTTTAGCTGCTGTGATGCTTTTCACTTCAGCACTGGATATCAGACCGAACAATGGCACCGCTTAAGTCTCGGAGAAATACCCCAACCGGCCCCAAAGATAACTTGATGCAATGAAGTATCAGACGTCAAGTGAAGATGAGCGTGCAAGCCGACCGTGAAGTCTGGTGAACACAGAAAGTCAAAGAAATGGAAGAGACCTAGAAAGCTGGTAGTACCCGAAGATTATTTCAATTGATCCGCGCGACCGGTCCCAGAAAACCGCCTGTGAATGAAGCCATCAAGGATCGGAATGGAGTGAACATCTCAAATAAAGAAAAACATCCCAACCAATGGGCCGAATACTTCGGAAAACAATTGTCATGGCCACCAGTTGGCACCCATTTGGAGCTCACAGGTGACGTAGAATCCTAGACGGCGAATGTGGAACCGCCTACGGCCTCGGAGGTTTCTGACTGCATATTTTGTCTTAAGCGCCACCGAGCCTCTGGTCCGGATGACCTCCCACTTGCATTGTTCAAAGATGGGGGTGAAATCCCCAGTCAGCGCTTGTCTGATCTGTTTGCTTGCATTTGAGAAAAGGAATCTGTCCCAGACAAACAAGGAGAGTCGGTGATAGTGCTCATTTTCAAAAAAGGGGCTCGTAGTGAGTGTGGCAGGGAAATAAGGTCGACCCCGGTCGTAACGAGACCGTTGGTGTCGCTGGTGCTTCGTTGCCTTATGGTGGCTCGTGAAACACTGACTCGAGGGCAGCAAGCGGGATTCCGGCCTGGTAGGGGTTGTGTTGACCAAATCTCCACAGTTCGTCAGGTGCTAGAACAACGCCATACATATAAGCGACCCACAATTCCAGTATTCCTGGATTTCCGAGGTACATTTGACTCGGGTGACGGGTCTGTTCATCTTGACACGTTTGCCCACCAAGGAATACCCCGGAAGTTCGTAAATATAGTACGTTCTTTGTAGTCCCAGACTTCCGGACGTGTGAGAGCATACGGCGAGCTCTACAAAAACTCCCGCACACAAAGTGGTATCCCACTTCTAATTAATCTTGTGACCGACGAAATGATGAGACGAACACTCGAAGGTTTTCAAAACCCCGGTGTTCAAATAGCCTGTGATGAAGACCTTGTCGATCTCGATTATACAGACTACATTGTTCTCATCTTCGAAAAGGAGAAGGCGCGAGTGTTTTTGGACGAAATAACCAAAATCATCCCGTCCTTTGGTATGCGCTCTGCACCTACAATGGTTCTGGACATGCAGTCACTAAACACGCCCATTATATTCCAGCGAGAGGCACTGAAAGTTGTGGAACGTTTTACGTATCTTGGGGGTTGCATTATTTCTGATTGTAGTGTGACAGATGAGGTCAATCCACGAATCCGAAAGGTTCGGGTCGCATTTGCGAATTTGAGATACCCATGGCGTCGAATTGGTGTATCCGTTAATCTCAAAGGACGTGTGTATCGAGCTATAATGCAGGCTGTTTTGTTGTATGGCTGTGAGACTTGGTTTGTTCGAGCGGCGGAACTGAGACGTCGTCAGGTGCTCGACAATCGTTGTGAGTTGGTGTTGGCGTATCCGTAACGAGGCAATTAGAAAGAGATTTTTCGGTTCTGCAACGGATACTTCCATTGAGGAGTGTGTCCAGCATCAGAAGCCGCGTTGGTTGGGACATGTGTTGCGTGTGTCTAACCATCGTTTGTCGAAGATAGTGCTGTTTTCCGTGCCCAATTCAAAGTGGCGTAAACAGAGAGGTGGCCAACACTTGACCTGGCAGAGGGGTATGAAAGAGATAGCGAGACGTTTAGGTGCTGTCGGTGCTACTCGCCTTCCAGGATGGGGACCGCATGATCCTTACTACGTCTAGTTTGAGACGCTGCAAGTTATGGCTGCCAACCGATGTCGGCGGCGATCTTGTTGTCAGTTTCTATCCAGATTGCCTGAATGTGTGTTTGGAGATGTAGGCACCTTGGAATGATTGTAGTAAGCTAGCATTAAGTCCCTTCCCCACGCACCTTTGTTTTTCCTTCACAATAAGGCTTTCACACAAATCATGGTTGTCCGGTAGCGAAGCACCGGTATTGAAAACTGATATCGTGTTGTCAATGATGATGATGATGCTGAGAGATATTCTGGGAATCAAACCCGTCCTTCTATTATAGATTCTTAAAACTATTTACAAAGTCTGATTCTCACGCTCAATTTGTTGGTGTCTCCAACATGCATCGTACCTCTGACGTGGCTGTTCACGCGAGGTAAAGGAGACTTTTACAGTAAGCTTGCTGAACGACCTGTTTACCGAGGCCGGCGTTCACGCGACCGACGCGCAGACTCAGTTGTCTTCGGAGTATTTGATACCGTATCCCTTGGTCCCTTCCACATTGCGACAAACTGGACTACATCGCATCGAGATTACCATCCTCATTGGCAGCAGTACACTGTCTCTCACTTACCTTAGATGTAGGCTGTCGATATCATCCCCTCCCACTATGCAGGTGCGCACAGATTTTCAAATCGATGAACGTGTTGCACTTCCCATGTACGATGCCCCGTAGACCATGTTGTAGGCGGTTTGGGTAGTTTTAAACGCAAGTTTCCTTCCATATTTTGTCGTTCGCAAGTGAACCGCATCATTGCAAACAAGCCAATACTACACATCTGTACCGGTGCTTCGAGGGTTGAGTGGTCCCAGGTCGAGATGAGAGGGTTGGGTGGTGTACTTCTCAGCCTCTGGAGAGTTTTAAATGGTACCTCGGTGCTTGTTCACAGTACCATGCTGCACTTTATTCATAACCCCTCGAAAACAGCATTCTGTGAATGGCCTAGGTATGCTCCTTTCCTAGTCTCTTTCACCCCTTTCGATGTGCATGACTATGTGATTGTCCATAACTCTTGCACTGCCACTGTCGAAAACGTCAAGCATATTTTCTTTGGTCTTACGGCTACTTGGACTTGATACTTTTGGAGTCCCGTACAAGTTTCAGTTTTAGTTTTTGTTCACCCATTATCCTCCCTATTACTGATATACGAAGCGACATTAAGTTCTTGTCGCAGTGGCGTGAGTTTTCGCCTCCAGTTCAACCGTCTCCCTACCCTGTCCTTACCCGCCGATAGTATACTTTTTTGGAAAATTTAACGTGTCCTCTTTATCCTCAAGCATGGATCTTTTTCTGACCTGGACAATGGTCGTCGCATTCCAATTATCCTCTTTTTGTCTCTTGTTCTGAAGCCTAGCTTGGACAGAGATTCTGTGTGATGTGTGCATTGCCCGTCTGGAGAACTTGTTGGCGTATTTTCCTCCTCTCTGGTAACGGATCCAAACTTTTTGGGAGGAGCTTTTGGTTTGCCTCGAATTTTCGAGGGATTTTATTCAGGTATCGCCTGTGAATCTTCTCCATGAACTGATTTCGGCCTGTGGGAGTGCATCAAAATAACACTAGTCCAGATTCACCTCAGCACTGGAGTTTTACGGCATTCTGTTCCATCCTCACTTTTTTCAATGGCTGAAAACCCATTTACAGACCATGGTGCCTATCATAAGTCCAGTTACTGTCGCTTCAAACTGCCCCTTAAGCACGCTGAACGCTGACCTTGTTAGCATTCACGATTAGGGTCCATCATATGCATTTACACTGAACTCTTCAAAATCCCTGCATACCTTCGCCAAAGCCGCGTGGTGCAATAGGTTACGCGTCTGACTACAGATTCCAGGTTCGAATCTTGACGTGGTCGTGCCTTTGGGAGCGAGATGGCCCACTGGTTAGAGCGCGAATTTAATGATAGGGAGGTCCGTGGTTCGACCCCGACCTATGCCTCTCGAATTCCCCTGTCTAGGCTAGGGCAACCTGGCAGTATCCAAGCCTTCGTGCTTCCTTCGGGTAGCATGGCAGTCAGGCACCAAAAGTGTGCTACGGCTGAATAAATGATACCTTCACCATACCTTCTGGCACGCTCTATCCCTTAAATTCAGACCCTCCCGCTGGTTATCCATTTAGGTTTATCGTTTTCTATAAATCTCTTGAGGTGATGTTACTGCCAGGAGACTGGACCTTGTCTGGATGTGATGGTTTGTATACTTCTGACCCACTAAGTTACACTTGATGGTTTCCTTTTGTTACCCTCTGAGTGATTAGTCATCGGATAAAAGTGTGACGATTAGTCTCCTTGTTTTCTAAATTGATGGTTGGGACAGGCACGGCGACTTGTTCCTAAAAACTTGTACAAGTGTATTAGTATGCCGACAACCACCTGCTGCTTCATAATCAGGCTTTTGAGCCAAAGGTTCTGGCCGAGGATCCTATTTGCCTTTCTGTTTAGGTGTGGGTCCCCTGACAGTATCTCAGCCCACCTACAACCATATTGGGGAGGGGATGCCCCAGAAGTTTGAGCATAATCCGGTTCCCCTATTCAACTGCTTCGGGACGTGTGAGAGTGTAAGGTGGGGTGTCTAAAGTCTTCCCTACAAAAAGCGGTGTTCGATAAGGATGTCCACTCTATCTTGACCGGAAGGTCTGTGGTTCGAATCCGACCTCTGCCTCTCGATTTCCCCTGTCTAGGCTTGGGCAACCTGACAGTATACGAGCCCTCGTTCTTCCTTTGGGTGGCATGGCGGTTAGGCACCGAAAGGATGCTACAGCTGAACGATTTCTATTTCTACTCTATTCATTGTTATTCAGTTTCGTGTTCGGTGAGGTACTGAGTTGAACACTAGAAGATCTACAAAGCCCCGGTGTCTTAATCATTGCTGGTGAGAGCCGTGTCGATCTGAAGTATTCAGACGACATCATCCTCATCCTTGAAGACGAAATCGGAACACAAGCACTGTTGAGTAAACAGACAACTACCAGCATACACTTTGCACCTTCAAAGTGCAAAGCCACGCCTCAAAACGTGTAGTAACTGAACATGCCTGTTGCAATTCAAGGAGAAGCACTGGATGTTATGGAGGATTTTAGATACCTAGGTAGTTGTACTAGCTATGGTTGAGGTGTCTGATGTATGGTTGCGAGACATGGCTTCTGCGGACAGATTCTGTTAGGCGTTTTCAAGTTTTCGCCCACCACTGGCTCAGAAGCTTTGCTGATGTCGGACGGCGTCAACGGATTTGTGACAAGGTAATTAGAAAACATCATTTTTGTTGTTGAGCAGGTACTTCAGTTGCGGAAAACATCTAGCAAGACCGTGGACCACTAAGGGTGGTTTTGTCCATGGCAGATCTGATCCAGGAAGCTCGTGTGGATTCACGGGAATGTATCTTTTTAAAAGCTTATACGTATATATGAGCACCGGGAATGGAGACCTTTGAACATTTTGCACCCATATTTTCGGAAGATCGACTGAGTGAATAACAGCTTTCAACTAGCGATGGACGATCTTCGTTAGTCCCATTCTGCGCTCGATCAACCAATGTCAGAAAACTTTAGGCAATACGGCTGCCAGCTTGATGCCACCACAGTTTTGCATGGTGTTTTGCTTTTTTCCACTTTTTATTCACTGTATGTTTTCGTTCCGAATGCCCCGACGGCAAGGTTGCCAGCCTTTGCTAAAACTCCTCATTCCTTCTACAGTGCAGGGTACAATCTATCCTTTTTGAGTGCTTTAGTTTGCATCAATCCGCCCGTTCACACAGTCGACCGCTCGACGGGCAACCTTGTCGGACTCCGTCTGCCTCGAAGAGAATTTATCACCGCTGCCTTCGTAAATTTGGTGGTAGCCGTTACTTAAAGGGCAAACCTTACTATCTCTACAGTGCTATCCCAGACGGAAGGAGATTATTCACTGGCTCGGTGTAAATGCAATTGCACTTTATCTGGCTCCATTTCTTGACTACTGGCATGGTTAAGTCTTGGGAAACAAGACTGCGGTCGTTGTGCTTGTCAGGAAGATCAGATTCCTAAGATGGTTCTAGAGTACCCGAAACCTACTGAGACATTTAGACCTCACAAAAACCGCAATAGGGTAGCCGTGCTACACCCAGGCAGGAAAAGTCACTTCCCGATCGAACACTCAAACAGTCGATCAATTCAGCAACGGTCGATGAGTGTTCAGGCATGTCACAAACTCATGGCCGTCGATGATGAATGTTCGGGCATTTCACAGCAACGTGACCGACGATGTTGAGTATTCAGGCATTTCATAGAAACACGGTCGATGATTATGAGCGTTCACCAAACACCGATCAGACGGCCCGAATCAATGTCAAAAGTGCCCTTTAAACACGGTGAGGCCCTTGTAAATATGGCACTCGCTTGTTCGCAATAAAGCCACTGTGTGCCTTGTCACGAAACTTCTTCCGACACTAAGGCGCTGGAGTGGGGACAAAATTCAGTTGCAACAGGGGTTCACTGATTCGTGGTGTTATTGAAGCTCTACCACTCCTGTGCTGTTGAGAAAGGTATTTCACGCAGATTATCCGTTTGCTCGTGACAGTTCGGCGTTTCGAAAAGCGCTAGACACAAGTGGTTAACTCACAACGAACCTATGGAATGTCGAACTGAAGATCGGCATTTACTCTCGTGCTTTCATCCATTTGTCCTCATAAGTGTAGTATTATTAATAAAACAAAAAATTGAGAATATTCATACCGAAGTCGCTGTTTTAAGAATAGGCTTAAACACAAAAATACCTGCTGACTGTTTTACATTTGTTGCTAGGATTGTCATATCGTATACGCTAGGAAAATGACGGATTGTACTGCTAAACATAAGTGGCGCGCTTGTTTACCGTCTTACAACGATTCTCTGTGTCAAGCATTGGAAACAGATCCAGGTACACCTCTGCATACTTTGGCAAAGGATCCACGTGCTTTAATTTTTTTATCCCCAAGGTTGTGTCACGTGACTAGTCACAAGTCGGTACCCACTATTTTCCCCCGTATGGATGACCTGGATTTCGCTCGTCAGTCATGTATGTGTGGAACGAAGTTCGCCGTAGCTACAGGCCTCTAAAAGTCAATTAAAGTCTAATCACACCATGTGTCAAACTTTTTGTGATTGTCTGCCGTAAATTTCAACTGTTTCACTCGACCTTAGTGTGTTCTATCTTTCCTATTCTCCCACGCAATAATGATGCGAAGTGAATTCCGCTTGTGTTTTTGTCATTATGTTCCTCATTTGTTGATTTTATTTATCTTCAACAGACTAGAAAGCCGGAATATCCGGGTGGGCACTTTGAAGTTGAGCGACGGTACAGCGATTTTGAATGGCTTCACAACCGACTTACCCAGCTTCATCCGTCTCTGTTTATTCCGGTAAGTATTCAGTGCAGTTCGTATGAAATATCAGTATAACATTTGTAAAGCATTAGAAGAAGCAAACCTCTATGTGTTCCGAGCACTTGAGTAAATACCGTGCTAGCAAAACAGAACGAGTGAGTTCTTACAAAAGAACCCTTCGCCAGGCTTCACATAACAGCCTTGAAGTTCCTATCTTAACCAAGTTGTTTGAAATGATTAGGGTACCCACTGCAAACTAAGTACAGTCCACCGGACCGAAGCAACCTAAAGTGGTATTGGGTTTCTAATCGCAGAATTTATCCCGCCTGACACCCCTTGCTATTGATTCCTACTCATGAACTTGTAAGCAAATAAATTCACGCTGCTAACACGATAGTAGAGTACTGTAGCCTGGGGATGACCAGTAAACATAAATTGCGTTCCCCAGTAGTTTGCCTCGTCTCAGATCTGTGCTATTGGGTATCCACGGCCCTGGTTGTTTCCGTGATGATCATTCGAACCAAACCTCGATATTCGCCGTACACTTGTATATACGGGCAATGACTACTGTGGTCGGTTTTTCTCTTATGCTTGTTTAGTGTGAACTTAGTGAACGAAGGAGTATCTGCCTTCTACGCTGGGTCCACATTGGGTTCTGAGTTTCACAGTTTTTTTACTGAGGTTCCCGTAACCCGAGTAGGCCAGCCAGTATGCAAAACATGTAGTGTAGGGGACAACGATCGTTTATACAGGATTACTCACCACCATTCTCAAACCGGACAGTCACAAAGTGCAACCAGGATTGTAACAAGCGAAACCTGAGAAAGATTGTGCTCACTTTGAAGCGACCACAAGTGGTTCACCATTGCAGGACACTAGGGGGGAATCGGTAGGTGATAAATCTAAGACGAGTTGTAGAGAGTTGTGCTTCTGCTGAATTGGCATCAAATTCCGTTCAGTCTTTTCTGGATATTCGCGTTCCTGTCCTGGCTCAATTATCCCGGGTAGTCCTCACCAATGAGGGGAAACACTTGATTCTAGTTTCGTCAACACGAGCTCAGATGTGAGCACGTTCGATAGTTTGGACCTGATGATTCAGGTGCTTCCAGCATATGCCGATGGAGTGGCGGTAACAGCTTCTCCTCCTGTGCCTGATTTTGTGAGTTCAGATCGTTGCACGACCAAGAATGTGCACTATTGATGGGCCGTTGTAAAAGCGAAACTTGTACGATGTTCCCAACTTTTGCTGTGAAGTAATGAGGGTGATTGCATCAGGTTTGTATGGTGACTGTTGAAAGAGATGTGATTTGAATGCAATATCCCAGATCCATAGTGTAGTGTATGGAGAATCAAATTGCGCCCCTTAGGCAAAGTGGATTTCAGCAGCTCACAATGACTATTTCAACTTTCACGATAAAGCACAACCGATCGGGATAGTTGTAAACAGTTCCTCTGTCGGAAATGAATTTCCGGAACCCTTCTTCAAGCGGAAACAAGTCTTATACTCATCGGCGGCTGGATCGTCAGATTCGATTTCATTGTAGTGTCTTGGAGCAACTTGTAGATGGTTAAGCAAACACACTCCTTTCAACTGGATTGAGTATTTGGTGATATATGCGATTTTTTGGATGATCACAATCCGTATGTTAAAAGGCAAGGGAGATTCTTAAAAAAGTGCTTTCCAGTGTCATTTGAAGCTTCCAGATGTTCGCGACTGCACAATACGCACTTACCAATGAACGTAATGCGAACATGGCCGGCCTTTTGGGAGCAACCACACTTGGGAAGGCTTTGGCTCTCTTGATGGGTAAACGTTACCGAATCGCGTTCTTTGGTTTGATCATATCCAAACCAGTTTACGAACCACTGTAAGCTAACGCAACTTTTCACTGAAGTTGTTGACCATGTTCCATTTGATGCGCATAAAACATGTCCCCGTAATGGAAAACACGCAGTGCTCATCAGGACAGTTCAAACCAAGTGGGAAAAATTCTTCAACCTGTGAAAAATTCCTAATAGCGGGCACCGTTTGGGTGTCTTGTGACTAAATTCTGCGGCAGGTCTGCTCCCAACTTCCTCTAGATATCCACTGTCATCATTTTACTCGCGTTAAAGAGAATCTCGTCACACCTCCCCGACATCTCGCATGTTTTTGATGGTGTGTGTATCCGGACTGTATATGGGCTGGGCTATAGTTGAATATTCCCTTCAGCAGCCATGATTTCGCTGACTACGTGCTGTGGATTGTGCGGTTGTCACGTTGAATTATCAACATCTTCGATAGCAAAGTTGGATGAACTCATCATTAGGTTTACTGAACTAGAGATCGGTCGGTAGTTTCTGTCTCGTAAAGCCAGGTAACTTTTTCCTGGACTGTGAATTCGAATGTCATGCCTTCTTTATTCTTCTCCCCTCATCTGGGACGAATAACAAACCGCACCACGGGGACCATGGAAATTGCAGTTCCTCCCATCCTTGTAACCTTCATTTCGGTTCCTACTCGACTTTTTACTGCATGTACAGTGTATTCAGATAATGCTCCTCCATGATCTTCGTGTATTGAAAATGTATAGGACCTCGAAGTGTTTATTGGACACGCATGAAAGTTCAGTTCAGTCAATCATCTGTTAACCACCTGCCAAAGATACGTTGGTTTCAGCTTCTCAGTTTCGGCCACCAGAAAGTGCTGGAGCAGATGAAATAGAGCCAGGCATTGGAGACGATGGCGTATTTGGTGTTGAATCGAATCATTAAAATACATGAAAAAATGGGCTGCTACTTATGGAGGGTGCCCCATGGACTGCATGATTGTGCAGTGTGTGCCAATGCGATTAAAACCCCAGGAGGTCTGTATCCAGTGAAGCGGTAGTCGTCAACCAGACAGGGTTTAGCTTTCATAATTGGCTGCCATGTCATAGACTATCTGCCTCTCAGTCGTCTGTACTCAGCACAGAGCTACATTAAAGGGGTAGATATTCCTCCAACATGTCAAGCACATGTCCTAATCAGCGTAACCTACGATTCGTAAGTAGCTTCTCCATCGCGTGAAAGTTCCTCGAGCCGTCCTGGGTCATTCCCCATTGCTAATCCGATATTCTCACTGAAACCGGCTGGTACTTCGGACCGATAGACATCGATAATCTTCGCATGTCCCCTGCGCGTAGAGGCCACGTTTCTTATCCGAAAAGCGGTGTGGATCGCACTATCAATAATTCCAACTTCGAGACATTCCTTATCTGGTCATGGACAGGTTTTAACAACTATCTCTTCGCTTCAAGAGGTCATTTTTTTCATTAGAAGTCCTGTTCTCTTGGAGCCATACACACAGTGACTATCTACACTGAGTGTATTCAGTTTTCTTATCCACAAATACGTAATATGTGGCCAAGGATAGTAAAGCAGTCAGCCAACTGCCAGTCGCCGTTTTATTGTTTTCTAGCTAATGTCATTTCAGTAGTCCCACATCCCATGCCGTTTGGAAACGACTTTTCGTGGAATCTTTTTAGCAGTGGCAGTTTTTAGGGAGCGCTTGACCGGTTCGGGCCAATTTTTCACCTGCGTTGATGAGGACCTTGTGTGAAAACCTCTTCAGCACTGCTTTCTTTTCGGCTGGCAGTTTGATAAGCCAGTCAGTGTAATTTGCGGACTGGCCAGGCATCAAACCAACGGGAAGCATGTGATTGGTATTTCGACCGTGCTTTTGCTGTGCTCCTGGTAGATCGTTAGTTAAGACAACTGAACTGCACGTTGAGTTTTCGGTACAATGTTGTCCGAAGGACATTTATGTGTGGTTGTCGCCACTTTTTTATTCACTAATGTAAGCGAAAACATATGACCTATATCCCGTGCACTGCATACTTCCGATTGTAGCCGCTACCCGGGAAAATGCTAACAACAGCCTTAGATCGCTTTTCGGATAATTTTCTCCGTCCCCGTGCCCTGGGACTTCAATTATTTTTGGCACGCCTTTCCCGACATCCAATCTTGTTTGTAAGCCCAGATGCGGTCGCCTTTCTTACGCTGCTGAGGGAGGTGAGTCTTCACCCCATGGGTGTCATGTCGGTGTTTTTATCCTGTCGCTGCATATTCACAGTCATCATCATTAGCATTATACAGATCCTAACTATTCAGATCATTTCTTCAGTTTTCGGTGTATTGTTCTACTCCTAAGCGTAGAGTTTGCCAGATGAGTTCGACTAAGTTGACCGCGCTTTAGTTCCTTATGTCAGCTACGGAACCTTGTGTCGGTGTGGTCGGACCTAACCCTTCGACATTCGCATCAGTTTTGAAAATTAAGCAAGTATTGGCTGGTTAGGGGTCGGAACATGTGTGGCGACGTGTTCCGTAAAAATGTTGATGTATTTGCATTTCCAGCCAAACACCACTGCCTTGCGGTCAGGATTTACTCTTTTCTTCAACATGTCATGCTGCCCATGGTGATGATGATGAGATGTAAAAGGCCAGACTGTTGACCAAGAGACCTTTCATTCAAGCTTTTCTCTAGCACCAAGGTTACTTTTTTTTCTTAGCATGAGTATCCCGATAGTACTTCACTCTTCGTTCTCCATTCGGGTTTCGGGCCACTATGAACTGGAATGATGCTGCAGACAAATAACTTGGTTTGATCGTCTCAAGAACAGCGTAACTGTTATGGTGTTTATCTTGACTGTGTTGGATAACAACTTTGTTGTTTCGCGAACCGGTAATTGTCACCTACCCCCCACACAAAAACAATGCGCAAAGCAATGCCAGAAAGCACCTTAGTTACGACGGATACCACGCCGATGGCACGATGGTTTTGTCCTGATGTTCTTGTGCAATTTTTTGAAAACTGAGATGTCCGTCGAAGATCTCTGTTCCGCTGGCGTTCTTTGTTCGTCGCAAATCTTTGAATTTTGGTTGTCCGANCAGCAGAACCTCACCACCTTCGAAGAGTGCGGATTGTAGATCATCCGGGCTAGGTGCCTTGCCGCGTAGAAGATGTGATATCACACGCTGGATTTCTGTTGTTGATGGCGGACTGGTGTCGATGTTCCATTCAGGTTCAGTGGGCTCTTCCAGCGATTTTGTTGCAGCATAGGAGCTGAACTGTTCTTTGAAGTGTTCACCGCTCAAGATGAGGATCTTTTGAATGAATTGGCACTCCATCTTTTTCGCACATGGTTTCTCTGATACTTATCGTCTTTTGACCGGCTGATCGGACCAGCTGAAATGGGGTGCGTCCCTTGCCTGTAGGGGAAGACTTCTGCATCTCCTGGGCCTTCGGAATCCACCAGCTTCCCTTGTCGTTCTTCAAGCTTCTGGATATCCGGTGCTTGAGGTATTTGGGTGTGCCATCACAGTCGTTGGTTGTTGGTCTAGCCTTTCTGACAGCAAAAAAGCTTGCTGAACCCCGAGGATGTCCGCTGTTCATTTAGTCGAGTCGGGTGGCTCGGAAAAACAGTTCTGAAAGCTGAGAGCATAGTTTCTGTAGCTCATTTCCATTCGACTTTCAAGCATGACTGTGCGTTTCCAAATCAGCTCGATATTCTTGAGCTACCGAAACTTATCGAAGTCAGTGAGTTGATTTGCTCTGCTGTGGCAAGCGTAATGCAGTACGATGACTTGCTGTTCTTCGTCGGGCTGCTCCACACTGGCCTTCCTGGCATGATTGAACCTTTAGGAATTGAGTTTTATCCAGTATAACCTTCAGGATCATTGCGGCACAGAAGCCCCACCACTACGATAAGGTTCCAACTTCAGGTCGGGCTTTGATGGTGATGTTAATGATGAGACGTTGGTGGCATTTTCTTCGCAGAAACGGTAATATGCATGCGTTTTTGGGATAAGAAGTAAAGATCGGCACAACCATTCATACCCATTCAGTTTCTATCTTCAGTTAAATTGTCACAGCAATCCCTGCGTTACGATGGACACCTTCGGGAAGAGCAGATAATCCCTCACTTGGGGGATCAAATACCAGTAAAACTTCTTAACGCAAAATGGCGAACACATTCAAATGACAAATAGACTGGTTGTTTAGCTATTCTGAGTGAGCATCCCGTGAATCATAATGCGTGTCCCAAAGACACTGAGCAAATTTTAGTCTTCAGACTACGGGTGAAGTGTAGTTGGCACATGGCTCGCGAGGTGGATTTTACAGCAGCATTATTCCTGCGGATGGTCTAAAGCGTTAATGATGAGCAAAAGCAGAGCACTGCCTGCATGTTCAATCGACAGAAGTGATAGTGAAAAGTAAGTTTCGGATGAGTGTGGACGACAAACTTGATGGTCGGGCTTGACAAGATGTGTGAATTCATGAGTTATCCTGATTCTGAACGGCTTTGTTCTCAATTCCTCACGGATGCTCGACCCGACATAATTATAGTGCGACTGCTAAATAATCTAGAAAGTTGGGTAGTTACTCCGTGTGCATACCGTATTTAGCTGATTAATTCAGTATAACACAGGTGCTTACAAAACTAGGGCTAAATCACAAAATTTCCAGTAATACGCAATGCTTGTAGTGCTTGACACTACACGTGAGCGAAAACACTCCACAACTCGTAGTTAACGCTAGAAGTCACACCTGGATTACTGAGCACTAAATGAGCTACTCAGCCAAAGTTGTGTGGCGAGCGGTATAATAAACAGACAAATGCGGGTTTCATGTTGATTTACATGATAACCCTGCTGTATCAGCTCATTCTGTGTTCCCTAGACTCCCCATATCGTCTTCATGGCGGTATGGAAGGACCACTGTGCCCGTGTGTACAACGCCCATTTGGTAAAAGTTACTTAATATTTTGGAGCAGCTGCAGAATTTGCCGCATAATCGCCATATTAGCAACACAGGTTTGCATAATTCCAATCTTACAACTGCAAGAAAGCTTGTGTTTATCCTCGTTTTCATGAAGGTGAGATTCCTGAAAATAGTCCCAGAATGCCCGAAACCTACTGAAACATTCAAGCCCCACCGAAATCGCAGTATGGAAGCCGTCCAGGCCAGAAAGGCCAGTTCCCGATCGAACGCTCAGTCGATCAATCACCGAAATCGCAGTATGGAAGCCGTCCAGGCCAGAAAGGCCAGTTCCCGATCGAACGCTCAAGCAGTCGATCAATTCAGCAACGATGATGGGTGATCGAGCATTTCACAGAAGCACTACCGACCGTGATGAGTGCTCATCCAACGCCGATCAGATGGCCTAGATCAATGTCAAAAGTACGCTTTAAATAGCGCGAGGCCCTTGTAACTGGCACTCGATTGTTGGCAATAAAGCTGTTGTGTTCCTTATTGGCGAGCCTTTTTCCGACACGAAGGCACTGGAGCGGGGACAGCAGTTTGATACAACATTCAGTTGCCATGTAATTATCATCCCACTATATCCCATGTAGTTTTATTCAAGTCCCCAGGTGAGGGTTTGAAAGTTAAGGTTAACCGCTTGGCGAATCGCGGATAGCTAGAGTCATAGGAAATTTGTGGCGTGGGTTCATCCAAACAGAAATTAACTCGCTTCTGAACTGCTCAGTAATACGCAAAGCAGTGTCCGTCAGGGATGCCCACTCTCTCCATTCCTTTTTAACTTTGTGATCGGTGAAATAATGAGACGAACGCCGGAGGATCTCCAAAACCCTGGTGTTCA